TGAAGACACCTGTACCTTCCCACTTTGGAGGCACAGGGCATTGCTTTGGTACCTGGGGATTTAGTCCCCAGCTCCTTTTTTAAGCTAAATAAGAGGTCTGATTTTCAGATGCCCTGAGCTCCCATTAACTTTGGGCTATGAAGCCATAAGAAGAACAGATGACAGACCAAAGGGAGCTGCACAGCGATGCTAGGACTCATTTGCAACACAATGTATCTCAAACCCACTGACTGGGCTGTTATTTTCTTCCTGCAACGTAAATTAAAACCAAATACAGTGCTAGGAAAGTCAAGAGTTAAAAGAGAAGCCAGGGGAAAAGAAAGAACAAATAAACGTGAGAACAAAAATAGCAGCCTAGGAAACTGATTCATTGAACAATTGATGCGAGATTCAAATCATAATGCTCCAAACCCTGGAATCTTTTCCTTGGCTTCTGATAATGCATCACAGTCACTGAATGCAACAATAACTCGGCAAATGACGTGCATCTGACGAAGTGGGTATTCACCCACAATAGCTCATGCTCCAATACGTCTGTCAGGCTATAAGGTGCCACAGGACTCTTTGCTGCTTTTACAGATCCAGACTAACACGGCTACCCCTCTGAAGCTCTACAAATGGGATTGTTTGAAAGTGTAATTGGAAGTTGCCAAGGCTGAATTCCCACTCTGGCACTTCAAGTGCAGAAGCTGGGGGCCCGCAAGGATTTTAAAAATTTAATACTTGCCACTCCAGGCTTGTATTACACTCCCAAGGTTACAGGTTTTCTCTGACCTTGGCTTGGTAAATGCTGCCACCACCCAAATACAAAAAAACCCTTTGAATCCAGGAAGGAGCACTTGGGAATTCCTCCCTGGGGGGTACCCTCAAGCCCTTTCACGCCCCCCGCCTCCCCCGGGGAAGAGCTGAGAAAGAAAACAAAGGAAATTAGCTGTTGCCACCAGTTAATTAAACAGCATATGCACAAACCTCTTAGGACACCGAAAACCCAATCCTGTTCTTTAAAAAAGGAAAATTTTATTAAAAACGAAAAGGAAGAAAATACATCTGGAACAGAAGCTTTTGCTAGATTTTAAAAGAGCAATTTCCAAAAATCAAGCACCCAAACTAGCTTTCTTGGGGGTTCAGCTTAAAGGTTACAAGCAAATAAAAGTATCTGGGGTTAGCACAGAGGAGTCCACAAGCCAATAAGAAATGAAAGAAATAACCCTGATCGCTTCTTTCTAGACATTCTCTAATTTACTTACATATCGGAGGCTTCAGATAAGTAGGTTTGAGGTATGAATTGATAATCTATAATCATACCTGGCTTAAAGCTGTTTACAGCATTGCTGCTTCGTGTCCCTGCAGCCCAGAGAGAACAACAGACAAAGGGAAAGATTCTTTCCCCATTTTAAAAAGTTCTACCTTCCCATTGGCTCTTTTGGTCAGGTGCCCACTTCCTTTTCTTTACCTGGGGGACTTTTAACCCTTTACAGGTAAAGCAAGCAGAGAACAGCTACCAAGAGGGATTTTACAGCTAGCTGGCTGGTTGGGTGTCCATAAAAGGGAACTCCCTCTCACCCCACCTCATTTATCACAAAAATGCTTTGGGAAGTGGCTCTACTTCAAAGAAAGAGGAAACAAATCTGGCGATATTTTTTAATTTGTACATTAAGTCCCCTGCTATTATCTGTTCTGCTTTGCAGTGTTTATTTTTGAACACATTATGGCTCATTCTTGAAAATAAAATAGCTGATTAATCTTTGAAGTGACTGATTGCTGGCCAGAGGAATTGTTAAAGGGTGCATCCAAGAAGCACACTGTGCATAACTCACCGGTCAGTGTGTGTTGCGTAGCCCAGCCTTCGCCAGACCCCACATAGAATCTGCTACAGTTGCCAGCTGGGGAAGCTAGTCCTCTCGCTCAACTCTAGACATGCTTGCTCTCAGCTCTGGAGGTTCCTAGTTCACGCCCCAGTGATTATAATCGCTTTGGGTGCATTGATCACAGCCTGCTTGTCGCTACATCCATGCTTTCAGAGGGGTGTGGAATACAGACATTGCACTCCAAGCTAGTGTGGGTATAAATAGCAGTGTGGGTGATGAGACAGGGCTGAGTAGAGCAGGTGCTCTCTGTGCCTGACCCCCCAGGGCGCATACCTTACACGGGCTCTCTACATGGCCAAGCAGTTCTTCCTGTGTCCACACTGCTATTGTTATCAGTGTAGTGTTCTGCTGCCCGAGCCTTTCCCCACCCCCTCCTCCTTCGGGTAGCCTTTCGCTGCAGCAGGACGTTGGTACACGTGCCGTGCCTGTACTCTACACATGGACAGAAGTGTAGACCTAGTCTGTCTCGGGGTTGTGGAGCAGTTTGCCCCTCTGTCCCCTTTCTGGTCTCCTTGGGTAGGTCTACGCAGCGCACCTCCCAGCCTGGGCTGAGAATCCTGGGCTAGGCTGCCTGGTGCTTGCGCTTTAAAAACAGCTGGATAGAGACAGTGGTTTTGAAGTTGTGACTCAGGCTCTGAAGCCTAAGGTGGTGGGAGACGGGGCTTCAAAGTCTGAGCTCCAGCCTGAGCTGCCACCTCTAAACACGGTCGATACGGCTATTTTTAGAGCAGTAGCACGAGCCCTGTTAGCCCAAGTATGTCGACCCGGACTGGGGGGCTGGCTCCAAAACACCATGTGGACGTACTCTCTGAGTGCACCCTCTCAGAGATTAGGCCTTGGGCCCTTACCTGTCTTGGGTGGAATGCTGCAATTCTCCCACTCGTAGACTGGGCTCTGAGTACAATATCCCATCTGTGCCAACCACTCATTACCGTGCAGGTTTGACTAGACCAGCCTGGTCTCAGTTTTGCTACCAGAGAGTGTCTCCCCCAGTCTCTCTTCCCCCTTTCTTAAAGGCCAACCATCCCTTTTTTGAGCTTGAGTTCCATATTGCTCAATTGCCTTTGTTATGGGCTCTAGATGTGCAGTCTTCCTGCTGCCTGAGACTGGGTCTCCCAGTTGACCAGCCGGCTATCTAAACTAATGTCTCTGTGTGGTGGGACAATTTGAGGAATCAGTCTGTACAGCTTATAGATTCTGGTAAATGGTATGAAGTTGTTATTATAAACTTGCTGTACCAGGGAATGCATCCATGTGGATGTGGAATCCACCACTTGCTGAAATCCTATACGTAAAACACACTTTGGGGGAACAAACCCATCTTCACCATTGAGCATCTCCACATCTGGCACAGCCTGGACGATGTGCAAGTTGACCTGATTAGCAGGCACTTAGAATCATAGAATCATAGAATATCAGGGTTGGAAGGGACCCCAGAAGGTCATCTAGTCCAACCCCCTGCTCGAAGCAGGACCATTCCCAGTTAAATCATCCCAGCCAGGGCTTTGTCAAGCCTGACCTTAAAAACCTCTAAGGAAGGAGATTCTACCACCTCCCTAGGTAACGCATTCCAGTGTTTCACCACCCTCTTAGTGAAAAAGTTTTTCCTAATATCCAATCTAAACCTCCCCCACTGCAGCTTGAGACCATTACTCCTCGTTCTGTCATCTGCTACCATTGAGAACAGTCTAGAGCCATCCTCTTTGGAACCCCCTTTCAGGTAGTTGAAAGCAGCTATCAAATCCCCCCTCATTCTTCTCTTCTGCAGGCTAAACAATCCCAGCTCCCTCAGCCTCTCCTCATAACTCATGTGTTCCAGACCCCTAATCATTTTTGTTGCCCTTCGCTGGACTCTCTCCAATTTATCCACATCCTTCTTGAAGTGTGGGGCCCAAAACTGGACACAGTACTCCAGATGAGGCCTCACCAATGTCGAATAGAGGGGAACGATCACGTTCCTCGATCTGCTCGCTATGCCCCTACTTATACATCCCAAAATGCCATTGGCCTTCTTGGCAACAAGGGCACACTGCTGACTCATATCCAGCTTCTCGTCCACTGTCACCCCGAGGTCCTTTTCTGCAGAACTGCTGCCTAGCCATTCGGTCCCTAGTCTGTAGCTGTGCATTGGGTTCTTCCGTCCTAAGTGCAGGACCCTGCACTTATCCTTATTGAACCTCATCAGATTTCTTTTGGCCCAATCCTCCAATTTGTCTAGGTCCTTCTGTATCCTATCCCTCCCCTCCAGCGTATCTACCACTCCTCCCAGTTTACTTTTGGGAGTGTGTGTGCAAATGGGGTGCTGTGTGTGCAATAGGATACAAACTGTCTGAAAATTGGGCCCCAAAATTGTTTTCCCTGTATTAGTGTATATCAGCGAAAGTATCCTCCCCCTTTCTGAAGCCCTGCAGTCCTGGCAGTCAGGCTTCCAAGGGGGTGGGTGATCCTTGAGACTCATGATTCCATGCAGACACAATGTGCAACACTGGAATAAAATGGTGAATTTCAGAGCTTTTGGTGCATGTTTTGTACTTGTCACATTTGTTTCAGAGGGTGGGGGGTTTATCAGATATTGGTATTAACCTAACTCTGGATGCTCCGCTCATATAGCACCTTTGAGAATTACAAACTAAACAGCTTTAGGGATCTGTTCACTTCACCCATCACCAAAACAAAGTCACCTCTAGGGTTGGATGTGGCAGCCATTATAAATAGCCCTTTTAGGACAGGAAGTGAACTTCTTATCCAATTAAACCACAGGGGATTTGGACAGGCGACATATAATTTGCCCCACTAGAATTTGGATATTGATTAACCGACCTTTTGGAAACCCCTGCTAGTCTTGAAAGACATGCCAGGGGTTCATTAATGAATGACTATGAACAGTCCAGACTTTGGCTTTAGGTCTCCCTTGAAAGATCGTTCTACTGAAAAAAAAAAAAAAAACCCCAACATATGGAGCTTGAACAATTTGAGCACGGTTTTTGCAACAACCTTCCTCATCCCGCAAGCGGTAGAGAGCTGAGGGAAGAAGCAGCCAGAATTTGCATGTTGGCACCTGGAGCAGGAATAATTTGATGTTCTAACCTGCTAGAATCTGATGTTTCCCTCTTTAATATTCATACATAACAGGAGCTGTTGAGGGCTGGAAGAGCTTGCTGGAAGGTCTGTACTAAAATTCGGCCAACTGACAGATACCGGAACTGTATATCTGGGGTAAGGAAAAAGGTTCACTGGGTAAAATAGACCAGGGATTTAGTAGTTAGAGACAGCTATGATGGTGCCAGGTGCATAAAATTTGGTAAACCTTATGCAAACTGAAGAGCTATTCCTCTGTTACCTGTAACCTGTAGAATCACAATGAAGAGGTGAAGGTGGAAGAGAAAAGGCTAATTAAGGCCCTGTCTAATAAAAACTTTCCCCAACCTTAGAACATCAAGGGTCAGTTGTAATAAACAGGATACATGATGAAGCAGGAACAGTTGATGTCATTAATACTTCCTGCAGCTGAAACAGACACCGCTTCAGAAGAGAATAGTAAGACAAACAATCATGGTCACTAATGGGAAACCAGTGCAACTTCAAACCCACCTCACAATAGAGACAGAAAAAACTAGGGCCAAATTTATCCCCGGTGGAACTGCAGTGGAGTTAATGACCTTTCCCACGGACAAATTGGCCAGGAGATTGAAAAATGTTAGCAAGGCCATGCAAAGGAATGGGTGGTTAAATTGCAGAGAAGAAGAAATGCTATAGTCAGGTGTGTTTGATGAGGGTAGGCGGCAGCCTACAGCGCCCCAAGCAGGGGGAACATGGAGAGGTTTGAGTTCTGTGTCTGCTCCTGTGGGCCACATAGCTCCAGACTTGATCCTGTGGTCCTTGAAGTCAATGACAAACTCTTGTTGACTTTAACAGTGCAGGATCAAGCCTTCAGTGAGCTTGGAGGTCAAACCCTGACCTCTTCTTCCCTATGTCCTGGCAGTGCCTTCCCAGACTGCATGCTGTTCCCAGTGGCCAAAGAGAAGCAGTCAGCCCTCTTCTTGTCCCCACTCCAATCCCACCCCTCCACTAAGAACAAGCTGCTGTCATGCAGGGCCTTTTCGGGATCATGCACAAGGAAGCAGCTGTTCTCTGCTTAGGGGATGGATTCTCAGAGCACAGACACCTGTAGATCATCCACAGAGATGGGATCTGATAGCACAAGCTTTTCTCTTATTCACATGCATGGATGGGAGCATCCCTCTCCTTCATCCTGGTTTCTGGGATGGGATCCCAGAGAGTGAGTCTTTTCTGGTCTGACTATGAGGAAGTACCAAGGTTCTCCCTTCTTACAGGTTTTCTGGGAAGGGGCTTTTCGAGCGCAGAGGCTTCCTCCTGGGCTAGTACTTCCCACTACACCATGACATGATGGTGGTTTTAGTCACCCCAGCATCACAATGCAATGATGCACAGACTCAGTCCTGGTGAACCAGCTGTAAAATGTAGTACCTCTTTCCCTGCTGAATGGAACTCCGAGTGGCTGGGTGCAATACCACGGGCGTGAACACCACGGCTTTGGGCTCCAGCTGCTGCCTTCACCATTACCCAAACCTAGTCATATGGAGAAACTCTGAATTCTGTAATTCAATGACCCCAGGTGGTATCCTTCACAGCCTGTCTGATCTACATGGACAAGCAATCAGCACAGAACCAGCAGTGGCAAATTGTCTTCCATCTGGCCTAGTGCATATACAAGATCTGTTCTACACTGAGATGCAAAGAATCAAAGGATATCCCTACTGAACTGAGAAGGTAGCTGGTGTGGAATAAATTTGTTGAGCCAAATTAATCCTTGGTGTAAGTGCAGCTCTCAAAGCTCCTTACAAGTGATGTGAACTGTTACATTCTCTTTTTAATAGTAGTAATAACAATAAATAATAATAAGTATATGCTTGGGTCTCATATAGCTCTTTTCTCCATGGATTTCCACATATACCCAGCTTTTATGGTGTTTTTCTGCCACAGATCTCAAAGTGCTTAAATACACTGCAGAGTGTGAAGACACTGGTTAAAATGCCAATGCTCTGATATATCCACCTTTCCTTCTCTTTACATTTTGACCTTTGTTCCCAGCTATAAGACTTTAAGCTCCCTGTAATACTTCCTTAGTGATTTGTGTCTGTCTTGATTTTTATAGATGTATCAATAATGTGCATTTGCAATAATGTGCATTTGGTGTGTGAGTGTAATATAAATCCAGGTGCTTCAATAAATTTATATTATGGGTTAAACTGGAACCTTCTTTGTGGGCACAGTGTGTATCACCTGATTCAGGGAAGGCTACAGAGAGGATATAATGCCATGTACTCTTCATTCTCCCCAGTGAGATAAATGATAAGGAAACGTACATCATTTTGTATTTCCTGTACTGTAGTTGTGGACTGATCAACGAACATTGGACTCATATTTAACTGTTTATAGATCCTCCCAGAGCCAAACAGTCCTGAATCTGGGTTGTCTGGTGTTTGGAATGTGAATCTGGATCATGACTGAGCACAACCAAAACTGCAGATCCAAGTTTCCCAATCTAGAGTCTTATGTTGTTCCTTGGACGCATCTCTAAGTAAACTCATATTCACATTGCAGTTCTTTAACTTATCTAAATGTTGTGCCCATTGACCGCTGTTCCTGTTGAAACCAATGGGAAAGAGATCTCACAGAACTCAACTTTCTTCCTCTTCAGGAGGAAGAAACACAGCCTTTGTGGAATAAATACATTTTACTTTATTTCTTCTGGGGATTAAATAAATGTTAATAAAAAACCCAAACAAAAACCAACCAAACAGGCAGAAAAAACAATCCCCATGTTTTGATATGTGTACATGGGTTACAACATATGTGTCTGGTGAGAAGGTCACAACAATGTTAATCAATTCAGATTGATCAGTAGAGCTCTGAATGACTATTCCGAATGTTGCACAATGAAAAACATTATGTCAGAGTTTTAGTTGTAAAATGTTGAATAGAATAGACATCATTACCATATTTCTCTATGTCCCTATTCTCTTTTGTATGAGATTTATATTGCCTCCAAGGGTTCCCACCTTCACATAGAAGTGCTATTCCTTATCTCCACCATCAAAGACCAAATCCTACCGTCTGTGCTGAAGCAAAACTCCTCTGAAGTTAATACAAGGCCCTATAAGTTCCACTATTGTGGTTTCCAGGCACAAACATTAAACAACTAGAATTGTTTCGCTTGTATGACACCTTCCATCTGAAGATCCCAATGCCCTTTACAGACATTAATGAATGTCGCCTCACAACACCTTTTGCAGGGTAGATACATATTACCTCATCCATGACAATGGGAAGAGTAAGTCAGACAGAGGTTCAGTGATTTGCCCAAAATTACCCAGGATGACAGCACCATGGAACAGACCCATCGTCTCCTGACTCTCAGACTTGTGCTTCTTATCATAAGACCATTCCTTTCTTTGAACATATCTGTGATTCTGGCAAACCAAGTGGCAGCTCATGCCAAGGCCTCAATAGAACACTGACAAAGGCATATCCGGACACCAGTCTGCCTTACCTGTGTGGTAGGTATTAGATTTATAAAAATGCATGTAGTGTTTAGACTTTATGAAATGCTTGCAAGGTGCTGCATGTATTAATCTCACTTATAACATTTGTACCCCATGCTGTAAGGTTATATTGTGTGTTTGCATTGTAAGCTTCTGTAACTCATCAAAGAGGAAAGAAGCATTTATCTGTTAGGTGCTGCCCACCAAAAAGGCCCATAGAAACTGATTGGAGCCATTGTGAAACATCAGAGAACAATGAATTTGCGAATTGCTTCCCCTACAACCATGAAGAGGAGACCTGCATGTGGACTTGTACCATCAGCTTAAACTCTGGGGGAAGGGAATAAACTGGACGAAACTGTATCTTTATGCTGCTTGGAGTCTGAGGGTCCAGGATTACTAAGCATAAGCAAAAGATCCCAGGTGCTTGCCCTGGCTTAGCCCTCATATATAGAGCTTGCTTATTATTTCTACCATCTTTTGGAACCTAAGACTATAACTCATTTATGTATATTTATCTGCTTTAGCCTTGTAAATAACTCTCATTTATTTTTCCTTAATTAATACATCTTCAGGTAGTTATTATAGGATTGACTACAAGCATTGTCTTTGGTGTAAGATCTAAAGTGCAGTTGACCTGGGGTAAGTGACTGATCTTTTGGAACTGGGAGTAACCTGAATGATGTGATTTTTGGTGTAAGAGATCACCTAACACAAAGGCACTCTTCCCTGGGAGACAAGATAGATTGGACTGTCTGTGACTCCAGGGGGCCGCCTGTGACTCCATGTTAAGGTTGTTGTAGTGTCTGAACAGTTCACATTTGATACTTTGTTGGTGAAATCTATGTATAGAGCTCACAACCAATTTGGGGTGTGTGCCCTGCTTCTTAACCATCTCTCCTGAGGTTGGTATCAAGCCCTTGAGCCACTCTGGACAGCCTGACAATATCAAACTACTCAGTGTTACATATTATAGGCCAGATAATTTTTTAAACTGTCCTTCCTTTCTGTGCCTGCAAATTCATGTGGGTAGTTAACTGCATGCACAGTTCATGTCTAAGTACTTGATTGCACCCACAAATCAGGTACTGATTAACTTATATAACTTATAACTAATAACTTAAATCATGCTCACAAATAATTGCAGTAGCAAACCGGGCCCACAAATCTTTGCTCCTGCAAAGAGGGAAGTTGAATTTAGGCTGAAAACCATGGTCAAATCCTGCTTGCCTTAGTCATGCAAAACTCTTGTTGACATAGAACAGGATTTGGATCTCAGTGAATCCATTTATTCAGCTCACTCTGTGCAAGATATTTAGCGTACGTCCTCACTGAAGAGTTAGCCTGGGTGATTGTTAGCCATGAGCACCCGGGTTAGCCTAGCCCAAGGTGTGATCACTCCCACTGCAAAGCCCTAGGCCCCACGTATGCTGCTAGGATTCTACATGCATATCCCATGGGTCTTTGTTCTGCAGTAAGCTGTGCTGCTCTATGATTCTTTCCCAATGAATTGTGACAACTTGTCTGCCCTCCTGGGTACATGAGGGAATTGTGGGAAGGCACTGGAGGATTACCAGCACTCAAGTAGTTTAGCCTGTGTCCTCACTGCAAAGTGGGCAGGTTACCAGCCTGAGCAAAAGCGGAACTTGGGCTCTGTCTTGCACGCCTGGCCACGCCAACTTGCGCAGGTCGAAAGCACCACTTAACTCTGAGAGGGTTGTGTGTGTGGATGGGAGAGGTGTTAGGGGCAACACCCAAGTAAGAGCTCAGGGTAACTCTGCAGTGAAGACATATCTTTACACTGCTCCTATAGTAAAGAGCTACTAATGATGGGTAACAGTGGGAGAATCTCTCTCTTAATCAGTAACATTAAGAAAACAAATGCTTGGTTGCTAAATGCTAAGTGCAAGGCAATTATTCTCAGCTCTCTTTTCCCAAGTCACTAAAACTATGCAAATAAAACTCCCAAATGTTTTATAATGGCATAAATTTTTGCATATTTATATATAAACCTTCCAGTTAGCTGACCTATTTCCAGCGGAAGGAAAACGAGGCACTAGCAGAGAAGAGACATTCTTAAAGTGAGCAGCATTCTGTTTAATGATAAGCTTAATGAATTAGACATGCGGAACACTGACAACATTTGTTTGTCTAATTAGATTAATAAAATAGGAGTGGAGCCCCTTCACTTTCTTGAAGTTACACAGCATGTGCATCCCAAAGGACAGCACCCATATGGCTTTGGGATGCTCCTCAGGGATGGCTCCTCTCCCTATGTGCCGACAGGCTGGCTAGGATCAGCTGAGGCTTGTTTATTGACAGTCCCTTGTTGTGCACTTTTGGTGACCACCAGAGGGACACTGCCAGGGGGTGACTGCCCAGCTGCAGACCGTGCTCCCTGTGGTGGTCCAAGGAGGCCGTGTTTATTGACCTCTGGACTCCCAGCTACGACAGCAATAAGGCCATGTGGGCAGGTGAGTAAGTGGGGAGATAGGCAGAGCTGTAACCCATCTTAGGACTGATTCCTAGCAATGGAGCAAAGCTGATGTACAGAGGCTTCACTCCACGTTAAAATGTTTGTGAGGCTAAGAGAGCGAGTCCTCAGCTCCAAGTGTCCAAACTATCTGCATAGTCAGGTGGTGGCCATTCAAATGGGTCCTGGGGTTGCGTGGCGGATTTCCCCCACAGGGGATTGTCGCTCAGTGGATTCACGTTGTGCATGAAACCCACTGGACCACTCTCATGCCCACTGCAGAGGCAGCTGCCAAGACAAGCCATCGAGATCTCCAACGTAGTGACAACAAAGGTCTGACTAAACAGCACAAGACCTGCATCCAAGAGAAAAGGTGTATACTGCACCACCAAGATCAGATGAAAACAGGTGCCCGAATGGCACTCCAGAAGCAATCATGAATCTAGATATTAATCCTAACCAGTGGGCCAGCAAGTGCTCCCTCACCAGAAGGGCCAGATACTTAAACCTGACATGTTGTCTGGTAGCTTCCTTCAACTGAACAACATCACAGCTCTTATTTATGTGACTCTGGGTAAGGGACATTGACATATTTTAGGAAGCAAAAAAAGAGAAATCCATCCCATCCTAAAGAAGTAGTTATGTAAGTGAAACAATTTTAATGCAGGTGTACAAAATGCAGGAATAACTTACAAGGCTTGCTTGATAGGAAATGGGTGTTATGCAATGAAGGGGAATAGAATGTTTTAACCTGTTGCTAAATAAACACTAATCATGCATTAAAAAGCAGATTTTCCACCCCAGGAGTGAGAATCTGGTTCTTCTACTGATTTGTGCTTTTTTCATAGAAGTTGGTTCTTTGTCTATACACCGAATTAACCGTTAAT